ACACCTACACCTGTGTACCCCCCCCCCGCCAGGACCGCCGCCGTCGGGTGCCATCAGGGTTATCCGGCCGTGGAGCGAGGTGGTGCGTTCTGGGCCGGTGGAGAGCGTCGGAGGCCCTGGCTTCTTGGTCCCCTTCGAGCCGGCAACATCGCCCGTCCCTGCGCCCGTGCTCACGCCGAAGCTGCGCCGTGAGGCGGTGGAATCAGTGGAGTGTTGTTACATGGAAGAAGATGCGGATCTTTGGTAGATGGAGGAACAGCTGTCCTTGGTGGTCGTGGTCACCATCACCGGCACCAGGCCGGATGTTCACCTCGCCGCGGTTGCTGCGGCGCTGCACGAGGAGTTCTGCATTGGCCCGCGGGACATGTCAATCTGCCCATTCTACCCGGAGGATTTCCTCGTCCTATGCAGTGCCCGGAATGTTCGCGATAGGATGGTCAGCCAGGGTGGCTTGTCCTCGTCTTCCCCGGCCGGCTTCTCCCTATCCTTGCGGCCATGGCTGCGTCAGGCGCCAGCCATCGGGGTTTCTCTCCCATTCCTGGTGCCACTGGCGCTCGTGGGCGTGCTGGCACACGCATGGACACGGCGGACGGCGAATTTGGTGCTACGAGGGCTCGGCTTGGTAGTGGGCGTAGTGGACAGCACAGCGCGCCGCGATGACATGTCTTGCTTCAAAGTGTGGCTGCACACTGACCGGCCGAAGCGCCTCCCAATGCAAAGGCGGCTGTACATCGAGGAGCCGAACGCAAGGCGGCGCCGGCATCAACCACGGGCGGCGCGCTCGTCGGCGCTGTGGTACAACGTCAGGATAGTCAAGCTGGCGGAGCCGGTGGTGGATGAAGAAGACGATCCGGATCTCTCGCCGCCGGCGAGCCCGACCGGGCCATCGGTGCCCCCCTCCGGGTCGGCTGGTGACGGTTCTCAAGGATATCAGCATGGCTGCCTGATGCCAATGATGCTGGGAGGAAGCTTGGATGCGGATGCCGCCTCACCGCCGGCGACCGGGGCCTCGTCGACGGCCTCGGCAATGAACGCGAATGCTGGGCAGTTTCAAACTAAAGGGGACTTGCGTCATCAAAGTGGATGTGACGATCGGATTTGTCGGCAGCATGGACCCACTGCCACCAGAGCGGTCGGGCTGGCCTTGACCGCGGACGCCACGAGACCAACGAACCCAACCCAAGGCCAACACGTGGAAAGGCAAGACAGGCGGGAGATCATGAATGAGGCGGACATCCTGGTGGACCATTCGGGAGCTGCCCAACCGGCTTCTTCTGGCGCATCGTGCCGCGGATCGGGACTGCACCGCCAGGGCGGCCACGTGGAGTCGCCACCATCGTCACGCTTGGCCGGTGGCGGGCCCGGGTGGAGCAGAGGGAGGAGCCCACCCCGACAGGATGCGGGATCCTGATTGGCTCGCTTGAGCTACATATGGGGACAAGACCAGGAAGGATGGGACAGCGGGAAGAGATAGGGGATCCCCAGGATTGCCCATTGGCCAGCAACTCCTGTGGGTTCATGCATGCGGACGAATCCAATGTCCCACAACCCGAGGAGGATGGGACGGATCCCATGTAGCAAATGGTAGGGGGCCACGTTGCCTCTTTTGACTGGCCGAAACCGGAATGCATGCAGATCTCCGACGTAAGCGCCATCGAGCAGTTTAGCGAGCTTGAGGAGTGGGTCTTCAAGATTCGGCCGCGCGTACTCTAGCAGGTCCCGCTCCTCCTCGACGGGTCTTTTCATGTCTACCCACTTCATCCCTGTGATCAGAATCTCCAACAACACCACCCCAAAGCTGTACACGTCGCATTTCGGGGTGAGACTGCCAGACATGACGTACTCCGGTGCGCTACCGCGCGGTGTTCCTAGGCGCGAGCATGTGGTGGTGACTGAGCCATCGCTCGCTCTCGTGTCAAGCCTCAGGCCCGAGAGCGAGATCTTGACATTGTTATACTGTAGAAGGAGCATAAACCATTAGCCGGTTGGGTCAGGACAGGACTCATGACAGGAGTGGTACTATCTCTTCAGACATGTCCTCCCAGTTGTGTAGTTAGCATTTCTATACCCCTATATAGTATACGAATAACTTTGAATATGTATTGTTGGATGAACTCGATCTGATGGCAAAGAGGTGGCAAACCCGAACATTGATAACTGTTCAACTTTCTATTCATTGAGACCACAATTGTGTCATCCTCTGAGCGCCTCCCTCCTCTGAGCGCCGACGGCCTCCCCGGTCCCGGCGGCCACCATGCGCGCCGGCCACCACTCCGGTGCCGGCGCCCACCCCCTCCCACCGGCCGCCACTCCGGCGCCGGTGTCCATCCCTCCTTCCCCCCACCCCCGCCATGGCTTCGCGGGTCTCTCTCTCGGCCTCCTCCTCCTCATCGGGGCCGTCATCGGTGCGTCCGAGGCCGCCTCTCCGCTCCGCCATCGTTGTCCCCGAGGTCGTTGGCACGGCGATGGGCCCCATCATCCAGGGAGGGACAAGCAGGAACCCTTCCCCTCCTGCGCCTCCGCACGCTCAGGCTGGGGCATGGCAGACCAGGGCCGGCCGACGGCCCCGAAGCCCGGCCTCCCCCCACCCCCGCCTGCTACACGGCGGAGACTCTCGCCGACCCTTCCCACCTGCCGGCCGCTGCGGACACGCATCCCGGTCGCCCTCCATGGATGTTGCTACAACTGCAGGGATGACTGCCACATCTCGCGGGACTGCCCCAACGAGACCTTGTGCGTTCGCTGCAATGGTTGGGGGCACATTACCAGGGACTGCAAGGCAAGGCGGAGCTCTTCGCTGGTGGAGGGCCGGGAGGGGGGGGGCTGGCGCCTCCTCCTCCCCCTGCCGACCCCCTACCCTATCACCGCTGCCGTCCAAT